AGAAGAAGGGCAAGAAGAGAGAAGAGGAAACAGAGAAACCAAAGAAGAAGGCAAAACCAGATGCAAAGAAGAAAAGCAAGAGAGCAGACACACCCCGAGAAGAGGAGCCCGAGGATGTTGCCCCAGGGAGGAAGAACAGACTCAGACTGATGATTCCAGCAGAAGAGGCATTGGAGGAGCCCGAGGAAGTTGAGGAGCGCGAGAATACCCCAGAGCAGGAGGATGTTGAGGAATGGGGGGAGGAGCCCGAGGAGGTGGAGGAGGAAGTTGAGGAAGTGGAGGAGGTTGAGAAACTGGAGGAGGTTGAGAGTGAGACTAGAAAGAATGCAGAGCCCCAAGAACCCAGAGAAGAAAAAACAAATGATGCAAAACCCCACACCGCTGCAGCCCCAGCTGCATCTCCTTCACCAGCTGGTGCAAGCAGCGACGTTGGTTCACTGGCAACGCTGTTGCAAGGCCAGGAGCAAATGCTTGCCCAGATCTGCGCCGAGCGCTTGCAGCAGCAGTCTCAAGAAGAGTCCCAGACTGAAAGTCAGCTGCTGGCTGGGTTTGCTGGATTCATTACGCGGCAAATTTTGTTAGTCCTTTTTGGATGTTGTTGGTGGGGTGGGTGGGTTTTATTGTTTGTATTTTCTTGTTTGGTGTGGTCGCACAGGCTTGGGCCTTCTGCAAGCCAAGTTGGAACGGATCAGCTGGTTGAGGTCCTCAAGCAAGCGTTCCAGTCTGCATTTCTTCCTCCGTCGGAAGTGAAGAAAGCCGATTCGCCTGTTGTCGAGACCAGGGAGCTTGTGCTGAGATCTTCCTCAGAAGCGCCTACAATGCTCTACCCTCCTGCTCATGAACCTGCCGCGACGCCTGCCGTGATGCCTGAACAGCCAACATCGCCAAGCACAACAGTGCCTGGCACACCAGCTGTGAAGGAGACCATGGTTGATGAGACTTTGGAGGACGCGGGGGGTGCGAAGAATGCCTCCAACCTGGCCCAATTGGGGACAGTCCCACCAGAACCACCTACTGCACCTTCTCGCCAACTTTCAAAGGAGGATGTGAAGGGTATGAGTGAATGCAACTGGGATTGTTCTGATAGATACTTTTGTTGTGCTGTGTTTATGTTGTTGCTCTTTTTGCCAAGGTGAAATTCTCAAGCAGTATCGCCTTGGTTTGGTCCCCGAAGAGTTCATCACAAGCAAGACCTGCAAGGGCCTTTACATGCGGCTCCGCCGGCAGATGGAGAAGGATGATGCTGACGTCAACTTTCCTCAAATGAGCAAGATGTTTGCGGGAAGCACCAAAGAGAAGCTTGGGTTGCTACGCTCCTTCTTGCAGAATGGGGAGAACGCGAAGGCCTGTGAGACACAGATCCGGCTGGAGAAGACGTGGGAACATGAGTACGAAGGAAAGGAAGAACTCCTGACTGTCCGTGAGATGAGAACTCGTGGCATCAGTGAGTACTTTGCAAATAATTAACTATCATTTTTTTTTTGGGAGGTTGTGGTGGGAAAGTATGATGATATGTGTCCATGTTTTGGTGCAACTTTTTCGTCCCAGGCAGAAGATCAAGGCCATCTGTGCCTCCCAAAATCCAGTGCTTGATGCTCAACACCCCGAGATACTTGAGGAAGCGAGATTCTGGGTGTTGACCGGTGCGTCGAGAACACAGCGTGATCGAATCTCTGCATCAGCCTCGACTACCTGCCAAGTTGCATCGGACAGGGCAGCTATGACGGCATTGACTGATGGGATTTCAGATGCACACGTCACAGCTCCAGTGCTTCAGAAAGAAAAGCTTCTTCAGATGGCTGAGAGTTACCTGCTGGCATTTTACTGTATAACTCCGTGTGTGCACTGTACTATTATAAATCTGTTCTTTTTTGTTTCTTGTCAGTTACTTCTCTGCCGACTGCTGGTGGCAGCGGTAGCAAAGGAAGGGCCAAGGCTAAGGCGAAGGCTAAAGCTTCCTCCTCTAGATCAACCCCGGAAGAGCCCATGTCCCTGGAGAAGAAACTTCAAAGTGTGAGTGCCTTTCTTACATGTTTCCTTCAACTCAATGAAGATTGGGATAATTTTTTTGGGAGCTCTACTAAGACCAATCTTTGTCAGGATCTGACATCAAGAAGATGTACCAGAACTTGGATTCGCTGGCGATGGATCTCCCTAAAGGCATTCCTTTATAAACAAGTACTGATTTTGTGAGCCACCAAATTTGTTGATCAAATAGGTAGCTGAACATGTTATATATATATATATATGTCCGTGCGTGCAGGGAATGATTTGCGCAAACGTGTGGTGTCGGACAAGATTGGCCTGAACCAGCTCAATGATCAGATCAAGGACATTGACATTGAATCAGAGACAGAGGACAAGGTCAACAGTTTCCTTGCGCTTGCCAAGAAGAAGGCCATTAAACCAATATATATATATAATATATATATATATATGTATATTGAAGATCTATTTGACATTATTTGGTTTGTTTGTGGTCAACTTTTGTTGCTTTCCCTGTTCTGCGCCCTTTGCAGATCGGTGAAGCGAAGCTGATATCTGCGCAAGCAAAAGCGGTGATTCGTGAGATGATCCGTGAGACGAGCAAATGATAGCTAGGTCTGATCTAGATTCAGACTTTCAAGTTTGGGTGCCTTTGGCTTCGCCAAAGATGTTGTCAGTTGTGGGGAATGACACAGAGGTAATCCCCTGTGTATGGCTCGAACTAGCGAGTGGTGGCTGCAAA